TTCTCTACGTTTTTGGATTATCATGAATAATTAATTAGGAAGCATTTCAGCATGAGTCAGCAGATTTGCATCAGTTACTGAAATCATAAAATATGTCGAAAAGCTACTACTATTCGCCTGTTTAGTATTTTCTAGAACCTTATGTCAAACGGTATACAAGTTCCAAGCGAGTTCTTTTGACGAACTAAGTTTTTTTCCCACGAGCTGGACTGCTGTGTTTAGTCAAGTGTGACGAAGGTCGATTTTCAGGTGCTGTGTTTCCAAGTTCGCGGAAGCCGTAATATATTTGAAGTTCAAGTGAGAGTTTGTTACTATTGGTAGAGGCTGTTTAGTTTTACTCAAAGTTCAAGTCAAGTTTGTGTTGGTGGATGCTGTGTTTTAAAGCTCTGTAAAGGCTATATGTTCCTTTGGTGTTAAACTTCCTTGTGTTAATCCGACATCCCTGCGTGCTGATAGTCAGTGAATAATTGTCCTCAAAACATTCGAACTCGTGACTTTGAGTTTTAGCCAATTCCATGCTCAACGTAATTGACTCCTTACCCATGCCTTACATATCTTTAATCAGTACATGAGACTGCTATGCTGTTTTTGAAGCCTGATGTGACTAAGAAAAATAGAGAATTGTTTTTTAGAAGGATTTGTATGGAGTCATCAGAGCATATTAAACTGGGCTAATATCGCGGAGACAATTTGTCCTGAAATGCTAGTTTTTGGCAAGTAGGCCTCCTGGATGTTGCTCTTTTCAGAATATCCTGACAAATCCCATAATTTCACACCTTACTCTTACCATATTTGATTTCTTACTATTCCTCCGCATTTACAATTAATTAGTTCCACAACCACGACGCCGAAGTGTACGCTAGCTCCGTAGCGTCTTGTTTACTTTTATTAGCTTCATGCTACACAAACAGGGCTAACTGACCCGCTACTGTGGCCTCCTTGGCTTGCGTGCGCATCTTCATTACCTTTACCTTAACCATTGTGTTTCGTGCTTTTTACTATTTCAAGCTTGCTTTAAAAGCGGAAGTTGTGTATTCTGATCTTCCTTAGGGACAGAGATAAGCTGGAACGCTCAGTAGCACGCGTTCACCTAGGAGCAACCGTTGATGACTTCATGTTGTTAGTGTTGGGAATCGTGTTAGCACATTGCACTATGACAACAGAAAATTACATCACAAGACATATTAGCTTGAATGATTCGCACTACTCACAGTTTCAGCGCCAAATTTTGCGCCTGCTTTGTAACTCCACGGAGCCCTTTTCACTTTTGTAAACAAGCGTTGCCAGTTCTAAGGCACTTAAAACTTTTTATTATATAGATACTGATGAAATGCCAGGATTTTTCCTTTTACTAAACTCATATCTTCATCGCGCAGTGAAGATACTATTTTTATCTTTCACATGTGAGGATATTGGTGTCGCCATGGTTACTAACATCATTACTAACATAATTGTGACTTTTTGGAACAGAAAATATAAGTATTAATGTCTTTATTTCTCCTTTATAACTTTATATCCGAGTTTCGTAACGTTTTTGTGACAGGCATTTTGCGATAGGTAACCACTTTAATTGCACTATTTTGCTGTTTCGTAAATTAATTTTAAAAAAGTTGTGTTTTATGTAGGAATTTCATCAGTATCTATAAAATAAACAGAACTTTACATGGCCGCTTGGGGATACGAATTTTATCTTCTCGTGCTGAAAGTATCTCTCACGAATGAGCAAAGCGAACAAGTGAGAGATAAAATTCGTATCCCCAAGCGGCCATGTAATGTCCTCTATTTAAACTATTATTCTCTTTTTTCGAATCACCATAATACAATCTGTTTCCCCCCAAAATTTTGCATAAGCCTTTGTTCACAAATGCGCATATTCCAGCAATAAATTATTCAAATTTTGGTAGGCAAACATGGTGTATTAAGGGAGATGTGCAAATTGCGAACTGAAAGTCAGACGAATTAAAAAAAAAAAGAAATTCACGACCCAGAATGGAACCCGGTTAAAGTACACGTTGTTGTTGTTGTTGTTGTTATTATTTTTAGCTTTCAAGCTATACGAAAGCCTATGATAGTTAGCGTAAAACTGAAGAAAAAACTATATTTTATTGTTTTTCAGAGGACTCAACATTGGTATACCTGGATTTTTAAAGAAGAAGCACAGAGATCGCTCTGCAACAGCTCCAGGACCACCGGAATCTGCTTCCACTGCCTGGTACACGAATGACGGTAAACGAAATAACCATTACCATTTTTGATAATATTTAGATTTAGCCGACGCTAAAAGCCGAGCTCTCAAGGGAAGTTTTGAGAAATGTCTTTCTAAAGTGAAGTTTTGTGAGCCTGTGATCACTTTAATACCATAACTGGTCAGCGGAGAACTTAAAAAAATTTCACCTCAATGAGTTGTACTTTCGAGCTCGAGATACAGTTATGTGGTACTGGTCAGCGAATACCCTATTTTGACAGCTGTCATGTGATCATAACATGAGTGTCCAATATCAAGTAAAACATGATTTGTGTATGACTTGGACTTTGAAGCTAATGGGTAAGACATTTCACATTCGCTAACATAAACGGGTCGACAGACGGACGGACGTGCGGCCGATTTCGTCAGAACCAAACTTTCGTGGATGCGTAGTTAACCAAATTTTCGTACCTATGGTGCTTCGCTTTGCGCACCCAAAGGCACCAACGTGAGGCTTAGGTTTAGATTATCTGTGTCAATAAATATTGCAAAGAAAGACCAAGGAACGACGAGCAACGGGATTTTCGGTTTTGGCCACGCGCAAAATGGGACGAGAGTCCCCTTTTTTCACGCGGTCTTTGACTGTCGTTCCTCGTTCTTTGCTCCGAAACTGCACGGAAGCGCTTACTACGCAGGCTAGTACTGATATCCGCCGTAAAGTAATCTTATGTTGATCTAATCTCTTGGTATTGGAAACTTGTCTTTGTGTTTCAGCTGAAAAGAAGAAAAAAGGCGATTCACCTAAACAAAGTAGACAGAGGGCAGCTTCGGAGAACAGACCAGACGTAGAAAAGACCCCGCCTGAAAAGAAAAACGAAAAAGAAAAGGTGCCCTCGGTTAAAAAACCGGTATCCAAAGAAAGAACACCATCTGAAAAGAAACTGGAAGTTAAGCCAAGTGAAAAGAAGCCGGAAGTAGCGCCCACCGAGAAGAAACCGGAAGTTACGCGAAGTGAAAAGAAGCCGGAAGTAGCGCCTACCGAGAAGAAACCGGAAGTTACGCCAAGTGAAAAGAAGCCGGAAGTAACCCCGAATGAAAAGAAACCGGAAGTAACCCCGAGTGAAAAGAAACCGGAAGTAACCCCAACTGAAAAGAAACCAGAAGCAATACCGAGTGATAAAAAGGAAGAAACTCCAACTGAGAAGAAGGGAGAAGAGACAATAGGAAGGAGGATCTCAGATAAGAAACCGGAATTGGTAAGACCGCCCATAATGGGCGGCAAACCGTTTGCCCTACCGCGTGACAGAGCCACTACAGACTCAACCGTCCGACCTAGTGCTCCTCATCCACCTGAAACAGCAGCCTCGAGTGATAAAGGTTCTTCACAGACCACCTCTGACGAGGCCGCCTCGGCACCTGCACCTGCTGTCAAGAAACCGCCCAAATTTGGAATTGGAATTGGAGGATTAGCGGGAGGAGGACTTTTGGCTGAAATGAAACAGAGACAAGAGAGAGCGGCCAGCTTAAAAAAAGTGAGTAAAGTCATTAAGTTTGATTAGAAATTGACAAAGCACCGCGACTACAGGTTGATACACACACACCTATTAAACCGTGTCAAAGTATTCATCCAAGTGATTGATCAACCAAGTGGTCCCTATTTTACTGAACTGTCCGCTTCTATTCCAGCGCACTGGTCTACTATAGCTTCTTTACAGCTTGGTATCATTAAAATATGTCTCATAACCGTTATTTCAGTTGTAACAAACAACAAAAATGATCTTTGAAAAACTGTTAGGTTAGCAAGTTTTTAAAAACCGCGATTGCAATCTGTTTTAATCTTCTTTTAGTTTTTCCCCCTTCCGTTACCCTTTCCGTTCCTCTTTTCCTATTTGCTGCGTTATCTATACGGTTATTTTTATGTTCCACTCAATTTGGTGGCAACTCTCACTGTTTTCTTTCAGATAAATTTCGTGATACAGCCCCTTTAAGCTGTTTCTTTTGTCTCATTTTACAGAATAAAACGCCTGAAAAGCCAGCGGAGACCAAACCAGACGAGAAAGATACCGGAAGTAAGGGAGCTGACGTGGAAGTATCCAAGGAAACGTTGGTAAAACCATCTTCAGTAAAAAGACCCAGGTTACCGTCTGGTACCCCGCCTAAACCCGCTCCAAGGCCAAAGCCTAAACCTGCAGAGAACAAGGAAGAAAAACCGGGAATCAAACTGGTGAAGAAACCGGAAGAGAAAAAAGTCGAAGAACCCGAAGCAAAAGTAGAGGAGAAAGTGGGACAGAAAAAAGAAGAAGAAAACAAAGAGGAAAAACCGGAAGCGAGTAAGACAAATGTAGAGGAAGAGAAGAAAGAAGAAGAAAAAGTGACTGAAGTTGATGGAAAGAAGAAGGCGGTCGCCAAGGAAGAAGAGACAGTAGAAGAGGGAACTAAACCGAAAATGGGAGGGACGGAAAAGGAGAGAAAGGCAAGTGAAAAAGAATCTGAACAACTTAAACAGGAAAAAGAGGCCGAGACGAAGGACGTAACATCCATAGGGGACAAAGTAGAAACGCAAAAATCCGAGACAATAGATAAAGGAGTGATTGGAACCAAGCGGACGGGTACTTTGGACGACATCTGGGTCCAAAAGGAGTCGGGAAAACAAGCTCTCAGACCTGGTGGTCGATCCAACTCGCTTAAGGTGCAGCGAACTACCTCGATCGAAAAAACGGCTGCCCTATCAGCTACTTTGCCCAAACCCTGGTCACCAGGGCAGGGTCCGTCCAGTTTGTTGACGAGAAAGCTCAGCTGGGAACCGCCTGCAGTCGGTGATGAAGAGTTTGTTAGGAAGGAGAAAGACCGAAGTGGGAACAGAGGGGAAGAGACTATTCAAGAGGTCGCTGAGGAGCAGAGTAATAAAACGTAGGTAGTTTGTTTGATTCGTAGTGTATATAGCCTGCGTTGCACCCGGGTACGGTTCGTCTAGACCATTAGTATGGTCCGTCTATACAGGAGGGTTAGAGTGTCCGCGCGCGACGTAGGCTATAGAGTATAGTACCCATCCGATTCTCCTTATTAGAAACCTTTAGATTCATGGACGAGGACGACGACTGCAAGGTCGAAATTTCTCTAACAGAATTATCGCGTGTTCTCAAAAGTTAGCTACCCTGGAAACCTTCATTTTACTTTTTTCAGCAGAAAAGTTAGCAAGCTAAGGTTATTTCTTTTGAAATAAGTTGAGCCATCTCCTGATCGCAAAATGATAAAACGTCCAATATTTGATAAATTGTTCCCGCCATTACGACATTTTGGCTAAAAGCCGTAGTGGAATGACGACGGCTATCGCGTTTTCCCGCCAAAATGACGCTGGTTCAGGCAGAGTACAGTACAGTTTAATCCCCCAATCAGTAATCTTATTACTATGGAGTTGCATCGACAACTATACGGTCAACCAATGCAGCGAAACCACTCTTATCTTGCATAGTATTGAGAAAATTTCGTTCTCGTAGTCGTCCCCGTCTGAGAATCTAAAGGTCTGTGATTTAAGCTTCCAGAAGAAGCTTCGTCGCCAGCACCTTTGCAAGTGATAACTCCTTTGTTTTTGTTGTTGTTTTTTTGTTTGTTTGGTTTTTTTTAGTTTACAGAGTGGCATTTTCGCTTCTTCTTGAGTTTTGATCTTGGTAGTAATAAGAGTTAAAAAGTGTAACTGGTGATTTCTGAACTTCGCACGTTTCAACACTAGGCTCGTACTTGTAGACCGCGAGGGAAGGGCATTATCGCATGAAGAACACTTTGAAGGCATTGTTCTTTCTCTGAACTTTGTCATGAATTCGGTTGTTTGACAAACATTATACATATCACATTGAGTTTTAACAAAGTGGAAACACCGCCTTAAAGAAATTCACTGTTTTCAAACGCTGCCTTTTTCGTCAGAGACGTTGACCTCTGTGAAGGACCAGTCCTTAGTTTGAGTACCGTAGGAGGAGGAAAACTGCATTGTCGTCGTAGTTACGTGTTTTACTCCCAAGCCGACGATATTGGCTTTTTCTAAACGTTCCTCGGCCTTTCAACTGAACTTTAGAATAAAGTTAAGTTAACCTGGCGTTTGAAGTAGAGTTTTACGTTATCTTATTTCGTGTTTAGGTCAATTGCTGCTACTGAAGGAGGCAAAGATACGAAGGAGAACGGAACAGTACCAAAGAGCCCGAAAGCGGTTTCCCTGGAGGACATCTTAAACGATGATGGAGACACAGTACTATGAACACGGTTAGCGCCTTTGAGCTTGCTTTCAGCGGTGTGAGCTGAAACGGCAAGGAAACGAGTCGCGGTGTAACAGCTCAGTGCCTTTGGTGCATGCCCTGGGGAAGTGATAACTCGCTGTTATCTTAAGGCTTTTGTCCTATTATTACTGTAATAGTCATTGGCATTTGATTTGGGGTTGCTGGTGACTAATTAGCATTGGTTCCTGAAGGAGGAAGGTGTAAATTTCATAAGTTGTGTGTGATAACATTATTTTACAGTAAGACATTTTTATAGAAAAACTTCTTTTGATACAAAATTTGCTCGCGTTGAATACGTCCGCTTTGAACACGTACTGGCTTTCCTTGTGTAACCGTAAAAACAAGTAGTTGGATCATTCCAGTCAGTAGATATCGTAAATACCAAAACATTTGTTGCACTAAACAAAATCATAAAAATGAAAACATAGAATATCTCAAGTATAGCCTTAATACAAGGTTTTCAAATTAAATGTGTATTGAGGAAAGTGAATATTACCTAAATTCTGTATATTACTAAAGAACTTACATAGATTGAAATGAAGTATTGCTAGGTAGGATTAAATAGTACGTGTTTTAGAATTAAAGGTGAATTTGCAACATTTTGTAACATTAATCCTGGCACATAGAATTTCATTGATTTGTGATTATTGAATATGCAATAAGAACAGTCCTTTTCAGTGTCTTGTATCTTGAGTGTACATTTCCACCGTTACGTCTGAAGGTTATTGCAATCTTGTTCTAGAGGCTGCGACTTCCGTTGTTCAGGGAGCCTGGGGACTATCTAGGAGGAAATGAAGTCAGAGTAATCAGGCTATTTTGGTCAGCGGTTGGCTACGGGAGAGACTCGAGGAAGCGGATAAATTTTTAATTGTTGTCCGTAAAATATCACTTGGAGTACTAAGATGTTCCAAGGTAATTTTAACGGAAGATTAAGCGATGCAATGATGTTAACATCGAGTTAAATGTTTGGCGGCAAAACACGTCATGTCTTGCACCCTGTTAGAACATGTTTTTTTGTCTCGTGTCCACGCTTAGATGCAATCGACGGTATATCGCCCCATGTAAAGTAAACCATTTTTGCGGAATCCGGGAAAATTTTGCTTGTAGAGTCTGGAATCGTAGGCTTCGGAATAGGTAATGCAGCTCAAGGAATCCGGAATCCGAGAACGATTGAAATCCGAAATCCAAGTTCCACTGACAAGGAATCCGCAATCCAGTACCTGAAGTCCGGAATCTTTCATGGGGCTCACCCTGGAGCTTATCAGTTTTAACGACTGAATACTCAATCTCACTTGCTTTTGAAATAAAGTATTGTGTTAACATTCAATTCTCAGTCATACTTGGGTTATCCGGGACGATTGCAGAACTAACCGATGCAACGCATATCAAAGCTAATTAAGGTAGCTCAAAGCACTTCCAATGCATTTCTTAAAGGGATGAGTACCTGAACATATTGATTTAAAAAAACGATTTGGAAGACGGAAGCACCCGACAGAAGAGGGCCCAATTGGGTTGAACTGTGTCCCACGGGAAAATTTATAGCTAAGCCCCTGTCACATAACCTCGAGCTAAGGGAAGGCGATGAACCACTTGTCAAGTCTCTGTAAAGTCTAAATTGACGAGGATTCCTCGAGGGATCCAGAAAAATACGGTGAAGAAAAATACGTCTACAGTTCCCCTTCTGTTGTTTTTCAACAATTCCATGATTGCATTGGTGCCCATTAACCAGGTTTTTAAGCTCTTAAATTGCGTTAGCTTTTGAAAGTCACATTTCGAATTACTGTAGTTGTTTGTAGCTGTCTGACTATAGAAAGAGCAACGTCGAGGCATTGCAAGTCACTAAAATTTGTTACGAAAAGCAATTTTGGAGGCAGTTTTTCAACTGAACCTTTAGCTGCCATTTTTAAAATTTCCATTTCAATAGAGGATTGTGTGGCCGATTCATTAATTTACGGTTGAAAAATCTAGGTGAGTTATCGAATGTTGTTAAAGACAAGGGTTTTTCTGGAAGAAAGGAAGCTCTTTTAGTGCAAAATACAAATAGTGTGCGAAACATAAAAAATGAGAGCGCGGGTCCTGGCTAGCAAACTACTCCATTTTGTTTCATTAACTATAGTTTTATCATGTTAGATGCAAAACTATTGAAACCTCTCCCGGGGCGGGGGGGACTCTGCATATGAAAGGGGTGGGGATGCTCGTCGGAAATTTTGAATTAAACCCCTAAAGGAGACCGATCTGGGCGTGACCTAAGCTTTTTTTTAATCTCTAAAAGAGACCATGTTAGAACACAGACAATTGAGAAAACTTGGATTATATGAATGGAGTAAATAACGTAAATTAAAAATATACATATCAAATATATACTTTTACATTTTTTCGCGTGCAACCCTAAACGAGACCTTCACGGCTAAATATGTTGGCATTTTGCCCAGAACACCCTAAATGAGACCAAAATCCGAAATTTACACCCCTAAGCGAGATGACGAGCATCCCCACCACTCTCATATGCGGAGTCCCCCCCGGAAACCTCTATCTTGCATGTAANCTTTTGATGATTATTAATTCCTTAGTTTTTAGCAGGTTATTTTATTGCTCCAATGTTTGGTCAAATACCTCAAAATGTAATGTCAACAAGTTACAGGCAGTGCAGAACTTCGCATGCCGCATTGTTAGCGGCGCGCGTAAATTTGACCATGTTACACCAATTCGCAAGGAGCTAAATTGGCTTTCAGTTCCCAGTCAGCTTTATTACCGGAACGCTACAATGGCTTTTAAATGTATGACCGGTCAAGCCCCTGAATACCTTACATCAAAATTCATAAAGCGAGCAGAGGTTAGCCGACGTAGCACCAGAAATTCACAGCTTTTACAAATTCCCTTTTTTAGAACAGCTGCCGGTCAGAGAACATTTTTCTATAGAACTGTGAACTTATGGAACTCCCTAGACAATTCCTTTAAACTGTGTAACTCGATTGATGTTTTTAAAACTCGTTTACGTACTAAATTACTTAAAGAATTGTAATTTTATATATATTTTAAAACATTTCTTAATTGTAAATAGGATCATGTATTGTCTTTGAAAAGCCCCTTGGGAAAGTCAATAAAGTATGTATGTATGTATGTATGTAAATATATACTTTTACATTTTTTCGCGTGCAACCCTAAACGAGACCTTCACGGCTAAATATGTTGGCATTTTGCCCAGAACACCCTAAATGAGACCAAAATCCGAAATTTACACCCCTAAGCGAGATGACGAGCATCCCCACCACTCTCATATGCGGAGTCCCCCCCGGAAACCTCTATCTTGCATGTAAAACAACAACACCTTTACGGATCCGTTAATTATCGGGACTTTTGAGAAACGGGCCCCTGAAGTGTAAGAGGAAGAGAGCTGGCTACCAGGAAATAACGGCGCCAGACGCTCAGGTTTTTATTGTTAAACACGCTTCCCGCAATTTTGAATAATCGCTTCTGACCCAAGCAATTTTGCTGAAGTCAGGATTAAATATCCTGGAAAGATTTCCGCACAGCCACATGCATTTCTTATCATGCATACATGCTTCGACAATGTTTTGACTCTATTCATATTGACCATTGACAATTAATTATGCATTATGTCTCATTAATTATGTATTCACCTTAT